CTCAACTTAATCTTACTTTCCACGCCCAGCACTGACACATGAAGGACACAATAAAGTGCCAAGCTATTGAACTGAACAGATTTAATTTTTTTTAGGCATTAAAGGCTTATAGTGGTTCACCAAGACTAGAGGAAACAACTGAATTTTTCAAACAAGACCATGTTTGGGACATTTTACCTAGCAAATCTCTCTCAATCTACAGTCTTCTTGAGACCCAAACCAGATGGCATCCCTGATCATATTTCAACAAGGTCTCTACATTTGTTTCATTAAGCTGTTATTGGGGTTACAGTGTTTTTTTCACTACTCATTTTTGAAGGAGTCCATCCAGCTTAATGAATCAAAGAGAGATTGCTTTCAATTGTATGTGTTGCTTAGTTCTGAGACTATTTTGACATAACAAAAGCTTCCAATATGTGAGATCAAGTCTACAATATCAGAGAATAGACAAAATTACTTCACGGGCCTCTTCCATTTTCTATTTCTGCAACTCTTGCTGATTTTTGAAGTGAACATTCTGAACAATTAAAGGGGACACTTTCGAGTCAATTAGGGCCAAAACACCCTACTAAAAAAATTCAAACTCAACAGAAGTCTCCCTCTGGATTTGTAAAAATTCCTACAAAACCAAGGTTTTGATGTGTTTGTTTTTTAAACAAACACTGTAGCATTTTTTTAGTGCCTCAGATTTACAAAGAGAAATTAACTACACACAAAGTGAAATTAATTATTTTGAATGACCAAGCTGAGTAAAAATGCAACAAATGAAACAGCTCAATGGCAACAACAGTTAATTTTAAAACTTCTTTTTATTTTTAAATAATGTAAGTGGTATAACCAAGGAAGGAAATCATTAAAAAAAATATATGGATTTTTAACTGGGCAGTGTCCTTTTTAGATATTATATCTAAGGAACACAAAGCATGTACTACCACTTCAAATTTTTTGACTACAAAATATAGACCAAATTCAACTTGCCTTACTCACCTGAACAGTCTTACTGAAGTCAGTAGCACTATAGGCACTTGCATGAATAAAGATATAAAGATTTGGCCTAGATGTTAAAGATGGAGTTTTTAGGGAGAAATTAATCAAAATTCTACAGTAGGTGATTTCTCACTCCACTTCTTCAGACGGATAGAACATAAATGTAATGCATAGATTCTGGTAACACAACATAACCAGATATATACCAAGAGAAAACATGCACAAACTCTATCACAAAGAAAGTTCTTACCCAAGTCATCTTTGTCCAATTCTATTTCCTCCATGATTGAGGGCATTACAAATGAAAACGTTTTTCTATTGAAATAGTACAGTGTGTAGCCAACAAACATGGCAGTGAATATTACTGTTCGGTAGTAACTGTAACCCTTATCCACCATGGTACAATCAAAGTAATATCTCCAAGAAAGAAAAAAAGAAAAATCCTGTTGATAGGAGGATTTGTCCTGCTTTTTAAAAATTCTGCTCACAGCTGTAGTGAATTGTTGTAATAAAAGATTTAAAAAAATACCAACTGCTTGTAAATAAAAGTTGGAACAAAAGAGCAGTTTTGAATGAGGAAAAGTAAAACAGCAGCTGTCAGGGTGTCTGAACTGGAGGCTGGACTTTCATCAGAATTCACATCCTGGGATATTTTGCAGAGCTACAGCTTTGTTGATGTTCTCTTTTCTTCTCAGTTTTGTTTACAGCTGCTTTCTGGAGAATGATTAACTTAGGGAACTCGTCATTCAGGACAAAACCATCAACCTGCAGAAAAACAAAAAAGTAAAGTTAGCTTATGATAAGCAGCACTGTACGCAAAGTGAAAAGATTAGAGGAGCCTTGCTCAGTAACTCTCCTCTGACCTCTGAACTCAAACAGGACAAACTGAAAACAATCAATCCCTTTCCCAGAAACAATCTTAAACTAGATTCACTACAAGGCACAGACCGGGTAGATTAAAGTCCTACAGCTTCAACAGGCAAACCGCATTTAGTTTCTGATTTCCTTTTCAGTGACTCCACAGATATTATATAGCTGTGACCTTCTCTGCTCTTTTAGCTGGTTCAATATTACAGAGCTAGCCTCTCCCCAAGCTAATGAATTTGTAACCAGAAGATGAAATTTAATCCAATCTGAAGGATGCTAATGTAATAAGCATTTCCAGAAATAAATTAAATGTATCTTCCAAGATAGTTTTGTAATTCTCTCAGTTAATGTTATTTTCTGTGGATAAAACACAGATAACCACCCACCTAAGACTGTGTCACATTTTCAGAATCTGCAAGTGATTGCATGGATCTAATTCAATCCCCTTTCTCTAATCTGTAAATGTAACTGTGGAAGTCTCCAGGAAAGTGATGCAACTATAGCTGAGCAACATATTGTATCTGGAATAGCAAAGAAACTGAAAAAAATTTGGGGGAGGAAGTGCAAAAGAGAGACAGATGCAACAGGACAGAAGACTTTGGTTCAAGACAAAAAGCAAAGAACTAGGGCAACATTTATCCCAGGTGTAAAACCACTGAAGTCAACAGAATTACACTAAGATTACATTTTGAATAAGGACTCATTAATAGAGACAGAAGGATAATTGGGGCACTAATTGCCTACGACTACATAATGAGGCCTGAGAAATAATGAATGTAGAAATTCAGAGAGCAAAGGGATGTGCAAAACAATGAAAAGTAATCAAGCATGGAGTTCTGATGCAAGTCTTCAGCCCATAAGCAATTGCACTCTTTTTGAACAAGGAAACTGCATTCAAGCTCATTTTGCATATAAATATAGGCTTTTAATCATTTTTTTAAAAATTGTTCTCCTTTGAATTAGATTAAAAAGTTGGTCTTGTCTGAAGACTGGCACTTCCACAGAGAAGCTCCCAGCAAGCATGGAAAGTCTGTAGGGAGCAGCAGTCCCCTCTTCAAGCATGAGGAATGAGGAACATTTTGAGTGTATAATTTAAAAACACTTCTCACATATTTTCCCCATTAGGGTTTACTTGGTTTTAAACTAAAACTAGAAACCTGATTCTAAATGCAAGAACCCAGCAAGGGAAGACTCTCTCAAATTTTCAGACAGTTTTACAAACATCTGGCTCTTCTGATGGGCTTCGCTGTGTTTTTCAATTAGACAATTAAAACTTCATTTCATTCCATCTGTCACAGCTTGACAGCCCTGCCTGCTTCAAAATCAGCCCACACACAGAAAAGAAAAGCCACTTGATTCTCTCTAGCTATGCATTTCCCACATACCTATCATTGTGGTTTCTAGGCATTATTAAGTATGTAACAGCCATCAGCAAAAAGTATGTAGGGCTACATGGTGCATGTGATATGGTTTGATTCACCAAGACTGAGCAGTACGCAAAGTACACACGGATACAATGCAAAATTAACCATATCAACAGCTAACACTATCAGCCCATGTTACTATTTGTATTACAATAGCACCTAGAGGCCTAACTGTGACCAGGGCCTCATCATGCTAGGCACTTCAGTAAGAAACAGTCCATACCCTAAAAAGTCTAACCTCTTCCTCTTTCATGTCCACTATCCTGCCTCCAGCAGCAGCCAAACCTGATGCTTCTGAAGAAGTTGAGCAACCCCACAACACACCTAATGACCTCTTCAATGCCATACAAATGGGGATGAGGATTGGGGGAGGTTCCTTCCAGACTCCTCTTGTGAACAGATGTTGCCTTGAAGAAGGGGACTCCTATAATGGTTCATTAACTCACCCAATCCTTTTAACAATCTATCCACAGTATTTAAAACATTAAGACATCCTGTTTAACTAAGACTGGGATGCAACATATTATGCTGCCCAAGTCTGATATCATTACATATACTGCACCAGACAGTGTACCAGGCACTTTACACAAGTTCCTGACACCAGGAATTTACTCTAACAGAGACATTATTCTTCTCCATAGTAACATTCATTTCCCTACTTGAGTATGGAAAGTGTGAGGTTCAGAGCAGGCACTGAGTTAGCTTTGAGCCCAAAGGACTAGATGAATGGTGGAGCCAGGGCAGCTTGCACTGCTGTAACTGGAGCTGCATCAATACAGATAAGGGACTGGGGTTGGGTGGGAGCAAGAACTAAATATAAAAGTCTCTTCAGCTGCTCATCCTTGAGGTGAAAGCTCACCCAGGAAATGGATACCAAGCAAAATGCCAGAAAGCAATAACACTCCTGCTGAGTTCAGGAGGAGGGCAACATGAGGCAAGGACCGCAGGCTTTAAGTGGGGAAGGGGACTTGTGTGTGGGTGAGGTTATGTGCCAGCCTCAGGAAGGCAGTCTGTGTATGTCTGTGGGGTTATATGCCTGAGGGAGTTGGTCGGTGTGTGTGTCTGCAGTGTGGGTTACATGGGTAGGAGGTCCGGGAAGGGGTGGGGGGGAAGGCTATGATGGCTGAGGGCCTGTAGAGAGGTTACGTGGTTGAGAGGTCCATGAGGGAAGAGGTTACGTGGCTGGGGGGCGAGGAGCTTGGTGTATATGTCTGTGGGAAGGGGGATTACATGGCTGTGGTGTCCACGGGGGTCTGTCTGGAGTGAGGTTATGTGGCTGGGGAGCCCATGGGGGACAGGTGTTTATATGTCTGGGGGCACGTGGCCGGGGGCCTGTCTCCGGGGGAGGGTACATGACTGGGGATGCGGGGGGGGCGATCGGAGAACGTGTCTGTTGTCGGGAGCGCGGCACCCAAGCAGGGTGCAAGTCATTACAGCCAAGGGCTGCCTGGGGGAGAGCTAGGGGTCAGAACCCCCTTACAGTACCTCTCCGACCCCTTCGCCCGGCCGCTTCCGCCCGGAAGTCCCGTCTCGTCCCTCTAGCCACACGCCGGTCGCCTATTGGGCAGGAACCGTGTACGTTACCAGCTCTGCCAATCATAACCGACGATAGGGCTCCGCGGGATCCACCAGGGGACGCCCGCACCTCCCCCGTCTGCGGTGATTGGCCGGATCGCCGTCGTGGGCGGGTATTGAGGGAGAATTGTGCCGCAGCCTACGGCCCAGCAGCGCGCGGCAAGTAGCCGGGGCTTCTTCCCGCCCGTCCTCTGCAGCACCTCATAGGGCGGCTGTAGCCGGAGCGCGCCGCCTTCGCAGAGTCCAGCCGCAGGGACAGCGCCTGCCCTCGCTGCCCGGGGCCCGCCCCGCGCGGGGAAGGAAGAGGTAGGGCCCAGGCCCGTCAGGGCGCGCTCTGGAACCCAGCGACCCGTCCAGCTCCTCAGCGAAGGGCTGATCCCTGCCCTCGGTTACAAAGCCGGGGGAGGGCGAGGGGTCAGAGCGTTGCCCCCCTACTTACACCATGTAGGAAGTTGGTGTTTCTGGGGTAAGGGGCCATGCAGAGAACCATGGGTGTAGGGGAAACGGGCGCTGGCCATGTACATAAGAACAGCCGGACCGGGTCAGACCAAAGGTCCATCTAGCCCAGTGTCCTGTCTACCGACAGTGGCCAATGCCAGGTGCCCCAGAGGGAGTGGACCAACAGGCAATGATCAAGTGATTTCTCTCCTGCCATCCATCTCCACCCTCTGACAGACAGAGGCTAGGGACTCCATTCCTTACCCGTCCTGGATAATAGCCATTAATGGACTTAACCTCCATGGATTTATCCAGTTCTCTTTTAAACTCTGTCATAGTCCTAGCCTTCACAACCTCCTCAGGTTGACTGTATGCTGCGTGAAGAAGAACTTCCTTGTATTTGTTTTAAACCTGCTGCCTATTAATTTCATTTGGTGAC